CACCACCACTACCATCACCACCACTACCATCACCACCACCACCACCACCACCACCACCACCGGCAACGATGTAGTATCGATTAAAGCTCGCCACCATACCTGCCGTTGTGTGTGCTTAACCTTGACCTTGCGTCCCGGGCTTTCTTACGTATCGTTTCAGCTCAGGGCTTCGTACGGAAACTGACAACTTTTTCGTTCTAACGATTATGCTCTCTATGTCTACATTAAAATGCAGTATGCGTTGCGACGACAGTCCCAAAAGGCCCTTTAGAATTTTTGCTTAAGACGAATCTGCGTATGTTTGATTGAAGCAATGAATTCAATTCGAGATTCATAGTTTATGTCTCTTGATATAGCGATGCCAGATGATTTATTCGTCAAGTTTTATTAAAGCGTAGCTTCAATTTTCTTTTTCCTTGCCTACTTTATTTTTGCTCCGGCAATATATCTATACGATGATTTTTCTTTTAGCAGTTTTCTCTTTATTTCTCTTTCCTATTTCTTTTTATATTATTTCTTATATTCTCTCACCAGCTCAACCTTATATATGTTTCAGTTCTTTTTCTTTCTCGATATTGAACTTAATCGATTCTAGAAGCTTCCAATTCGCACGACTCGACTCACGTAATTTCATGCAAGCGAACTTACCTTGACATTATAAACACATTTGATGCAATAGAAAGATATCTTTAAAAATCAGATAGTAAATTAATTAAAAAATCTCTCTCAGACAGTAAATTAATTTAATTTAACGAGAGAGATAGTGATTGGATTTAAACTAATCTTGTTTTTTTTTTTTTTTCTTAACCCTTACCGTACTAATATGGATAACTAGTGGCCGAGCGATTCCTGCTCATGCAAATTTCTTTGAGTCTTTCAGTAATTATAAATTATATATATATATATATACTACATTTTATTATTTTCCAAAATAAAGAGTCAATATTTATTCTAGAAAATTGAAAGTATGTTGGTAAATTTTTAAAGATTTTTTTAATTATTTTGTAGAGGTAAAAAAACGAAGAGATTTGAAGTGACCCTTGATGGTATGGATGAGGCACCAAATTGTAGATAGTACGGTAAGGGTTAATATCCACGATTAGCAACATTCCATTGACCGTGTGAATAAAGTGTGTTTCGTGTTCATAACAGTGGTGGAATTATATTTTTACAAAAATGTTTCATAAAAATCTATTAATCGTATTAAATAAAATGATAAAACAATAATAAATGAAAATAATAAAATTTTATTTTTAATATCTGCCGATTTTACGATGCCAGACGAGAGAAGATGTAGGTATTTTATATGCAACTTTGTAATTGTTCCGTGAATATAGATTTAATAAGAACAAATAAAGAATTATTCCAAGTTTTTATTACTTAATAATATTAATTAGTATATATTAACAATTACTTTCACTATTTCGTAATTTTACAAATTCTTATTTTGCTCTGTAAATTGTATTTTAACGGCTTGTTCAACGCAATTGAAGTGCACTTTACGTAGTCAGATGCAAAGTGAGTGCCATATATTTATCGAAATATTGTATGCATGGTGAAAAAGACAGATCCGTTAGTTTACACACTCTAATGGCAACAATAAGTGGATGCAATGAGACTGATGCAATCGTGTAGCGGTGTGTTTTCGATGCATTCGTGTGAAAGCTATTATTGGATCCGTTTATATTCCGTCATTGCATGGCTGGTCCGTGCTTTTTTTGTGCCCAAGAAACATCGGGATCATCTTACGTTGAAGCGTTAGACACCCAGTATTATACGCAGATAAAATGATTTACTTAGTCATTTAGATATTAAGTATGATTCAGTATACTTTTTCTATCAATTCTCTTATATTTAATTTTTCCAATTCTACTAGAGATTTATTTTCTTTTTTTTTAGGAATTATATTTTTGTGTTAATGTACATGATACGTTCAATAAATTTGTTTCCGTCTACGTATCATTATCTGTGTCATTATGAGATATTCCACATTTTTAACAGTAATGACGTTTATGTAATAAATATTTATCTGCAAATTTTACAACTTTTCCAGTTATATATAATAGTAATCAAGTTACAAAAAAATTGTTTTATACCTATATAATCAAAGACATTTTTCGCTCTAGTAATGTACAGAGCAAAGATTTTAACGAACGATAACTCGGTACGTGGGATAAAGCTCTTATGCGTGTAACAAAATATCATTGTGTATTTAGGAGATAAATTCCGTCTTGTGCTGTCGACGACATTACGTGAAGATGGATATCCAGATGGTAACGAGTGGAATCCTATGGAACAGGAGGGAGGTTCCAGGGCGGATAGCTTTGAGTACGTCATGTCCGGCAAGGTGTATCGAATTGAAGGTGACGAAGCCAACAATGAACCCAGCAGCAGACTGTAAGTAGCCGTTGTTCTGTTTTTCATCAAGCGTGTCAAGATCGGTCTGGAAAATTAGCTTTTCATCCTTTGGAAAAATTTAATTTATTGTATCAGGCAAGTCCAATTAGTAACACGAAAAAAATTAACAAATATATATTTTATGATCAATTAAGAATAAAAAATTAAAATCAAGGGACGAGTCTTTTTCAGATTGATCTTACCAGTGAAATATATTTTATTGGCAATTAAGATTTGTTTGCACTCTTTACGATCTTTGGTATTACCATTATGATTTTACCTTGAAATCTTGTATCATTGTTTATAAAGTGTGCGTACGATATACGCAGCGATAGTTACATGAGAATAGATAAGCGAAACAACTTGTTATAGTAATCACATTTTGATAACAGTTGCGATATAATCTGTAAGTTTTATATACGAAATCATCCAAAATTACGCTTAACTTTCTTTTAAACAGTACAAAATACTTGGTCTTTATTTAAACAATCTTCATTATTAATTGTATCTTATTAGAGTATATTACTTTGGAATCATTTTCCCTTATACATTTCAAGGTAAAAATAAATTTATACAAATTCTTGTTACATACAAAAATGTCTAAAAATCCTGTAGTGCAAACGAATCTATACACTTCTTTTTGCAATATCCGAGCAGAATCCTGTACGAAATTTTATTACGTGAAATGATCTGATGGTATCGTTCGAAAATATCTTGATACGAATCTTCTTAAGGAGCGACATTGTCAATTACGAGAATTTATCACTGTTACTTATATGCATGTTTTGTATTAATTTGATTCCGCTCGGATACACCATACGCTGGCCTATATCAGGCCTATCGGGAATACATACGGATACACGATACGATACATGACGTCGTTCGAACGACATATTGATGTGCGACAAACATTCTGTTGTGCGATCTCTTATTGGCTCGTTTCCAAGCGCTCTCAATGAAGCCGCGTGAGCTTCCGAAAACAACTTTCTACGCCGCTTGTAGAGAAATTGGCTCTCTGTTGTCATTGATTAGCGTTCTGAACAAGGTTTCTCGATTCGATCGAGGAGCGATACTACCAACACCGTTTGACCATTCTTATGTAATTAGTGAACAGTAGAAAAAAATATTGAGCAACGCAAGTGTTGCAAACAATTTTTTGAGATTAATAAAAACGTATGAACAAAATTATGTTGTAAATAAGTTAGTTAAATAAACGCAGTATGCTTTCGACACTTAATTTATTTAAATAGATGTCGCGCAAATAAGTTTTTGTGCGAAGCTATATATATTTAAAAAAGTATTACGGTTAACATAATAATTGAATGGTAATAAAGTTAAGATTGTTGTATGAATTACGTGATACGCAATTGCCCGAACCTTGGCACGATTGGCTGAGCACGCCGAAATAGTGCGTCATCGGGTGGGCCATTTTTAGCTTCGTCATTCATGAACTATGGACTCGCTATTTTTTCAAACGCAATTTTTTAGCTATTTGTATATTATTGCCAAAAAATGAGTGCGGCAAGTAAATGTACATTTATAAAAATCAGGATGGGAATAAGCTATTATACATAGACATAAAATTTAAATCATCAGATATAATAATATTATATTTGTATCAGAGTTGGTAAAAATCATGTTTTAAACATGTTTTAAATTGTTTAAAACATGCTTAATTGATAAATTTTTTAACATATTTTAAACATGTTTTTTTGTAATGCTAACGTTTAAAGCGTGTATGAAGCATTAAAAACATGTTTTAAAAAAATACAATAGTTTATTCTTTAAGGAAAAAATATTTTTTGCCAACCCTGTTTTTTTTTTAGAAATAATGCTCATGAATTCTTAGACAAGAATTTATAATAAAGAATAAAATTTCAAATTTTAATTAATCGCCGAACAAGTGTTATGGAGAATTTTATGAAAGTTGTGGAGTTTCTGCAATTTAAAATTGCTTTCCAATCGGACGGGAAGCCGAAGGTTGCACGCGAGTGTTGGGCTTTCCATTTAAACGTGCTAAACGAAATACGGAATTGCGCGATAACCCCGCGGTTTGACCGACTTATCGCACTGACCTTGGGACGTGGCCGCGACGTCGGTCGCATCGGTTGCGTTGCCGTTGATTTCGCCGCAGGTTGTACCACTACTGCGCGCAAAACATGCCGCGCTCTGTTGACGCTATTAAAGATAGAACGCAGCGTTGTAGACAGCACGATAAGAAGAGAAAGATAATGACGCGTGCTTTAAACATTTGAGTCTGTTAAGTGCTTTAAATCGGCCGTGCAAGTGCGGTACTATTTATCGAATGCGACGTCATTTCGTAGCGCTTCTTCATAGTACTCAGAAATTAACGTTTAATTTTTAATTAGTTTTTTCTTCCATGCGCTGTCAATCTTCGTCTCAATTAAAGCGTAATGTAATCTCAGCTGTATGTTATGTAATTTATAAATGTAATTAATTAACAAAATATAGATCATACATTATATTATGACAAGTGTGAGGTATAATGACGATTAATAAATTTATGTCTATCAGAGTATCTTGAATATATCTAAAATTTACAATTGAAAGAATCATTGGACCTTCTGGTATCAGACATGAAAGATTTAAATGATCGTACGTCTATCTTTTTTATTAATTTTCTTTGTCTGCCTTCTCTATGTATATAGTGTTTTCTGTATTTGCTTTTCTGATGTTATTTAATTAATATTTTTGTACTAAGTGTACAACTTTGCTTCCGCCGTTTTTTTTTCCCGAAATTCGAGGCTTTATTGTAAAAAACTGGTTATATATTTATGATTCAAAGTATTGTCCATCGCTGGCCACTACTTTCTCCCATCTTTCGGGCAGCGTACAAATCCCGTGTCGAATAAACTGGTCATCTTTTGAGGCGATCCACGAATCGATCCAATTTTTTACTTATTCATAAGACCGGAAGTGCTGATCATTCAGGCCGTGTGCCATTGATCGAAACAAGTGATATTCAGAGGGAGCAACGTTTGGAGAATACGGCGGGTGGGGTAGGACTTCCCATTTCAACGTTACCAAGTGTGTCTTGACCACTTTCGCAACATGGGGTCGAGCATTGTCATCCTGCAAAATCACTTTATCGTGTCTCTCGTTGTATTGCAGCCGTTTTTCTTTCAATGCTCGGCTCAAATGCATCAATTGCGTTCGATACCGATCGCCTGTGATTGTTTCAGTCGGTTTTAAGCTCATAATACACTCCGCCGAGCTGGTCCCACCAAATACAGATCATGACCTTGGAGCCGTGAATATTCGGTTTGGCCGTTGACGTGGAAGCATGGCCGGGAACTCCCCATGATTTTCTGCGCTTGGGGTTATCGTAATGAACCCATTTTTCGTCCCCAGTCACAATGCGATGCAGAAATCCCTTCCGTGCCTTTCAAGCAGCTGTTTACAAGCAAACAAACGCCGTTCAACATCTCTCGGCTTCAACTCGCACCCAATTTCCTTGCTTCTGAATTATTCCCATGGCTTTGAGGCGTTTTGAAATGACTTGTTGAGTCACTCCCAATGATCGTGCCAATTCTTCTTGATTTTGACACGAGTCTTGATCAAGTAATGCCTCCAATTCTGCATCTTCGAAAACCTCTCTTCCACCGTTTATGCCGGTCTTCGATGTCAAAATCACCGTTCTTGAAGCGTTGAAACCACTGACGACACGTTCTTTCACTAATAGCGGCCTCACCATAAGTATTTGAGAGCATTCGATGAGCCTCAGCCGCAGATTTCTTCATATTGAAGCGAAAATTAAAATCTCCCGCAAATTACGAGAATTTGGCTTGTAAACTGACATTTTCAATCGAGAATAACTTTATGATGCAGACACAAATCGACTAATGTTTCTATGGGGTTATGTTGACAGTTGCCCAAGTTTATTGTATGACGTCTATGATCTATTTATTTCGATCGCCACTTACCGCTAAAGCCATCTATAGGAAAACGGCGGAAGCAAAGTTGTACACCTAATATATATTTTTAATTTCAATATTTTTAAAATTTTTAATCTCTTGAACAAAATTTGAATAGATATCAAATCTGTTATTATATGATATACGTAAGTTAATATAATTCAAAAGATAAACCTTAAATTAATTTATTTTATTGTGTAATATAAAAAAAAAACGTAGTGTACATATTTAAATGTATTAGATTAGTTAAATGTATTAGAGGATCAAGATTTGTATTTCTCGGTTACTCTTCCATAACTTGTATATTGATATTGACTCAAGATTGTTAAGTGGAATACGCCATGTGTAATCAGACAAGCCTACACTATATATGCTTATTAATGATACGTGATAATTGTTTTAGTAGTTTCTTAGTTTTTTCTTACTATTTTTTTTGCAATTGATTACTGAATCACAGACAGTATGAACGTTATTTTCCTGTATTTTTCCGAAGATTCAATAATTGTAACAGTGTCAATTAGCTGTGTGAATATTTACTCAATTGTATTAATTTTTTATGGAAAATTCAAGTATCGCATCCATGTGTTAAAAAACTTAAATATATATAAGTTTATTGTATATTCTGTTGTTTTTTTCCTATGTATATATTTTCTATAGCAAGTACAATAAGAGCAACACAAGAGTACAAATTGTAAGAAAGCATCTCGTGAATATTATTTATAAGAAAGTATAGAATAGTAAGTAGAGTTGTTTTTATTCATGTAATAGGGTATTTCATAATTCTCACTCTTCTGGTCATACTATAATCATGTAATCGAAATATGATACGGGAGGATATTGAGCTCGATCGATAAGAAGACATCACGTGGCGCGTTTAGCAGAAACAATGCAATTCCACGTTGAGATAAGTGAACATTTGCAACAAGGCGATACTTCATGATGTGGCGTGACGATTATACGCCATCCGGTCGGTAAGAGAGTGCGCACGTACCAGAGAGATCAGCGGAACGAGCTTTCGGAGGACAGGGAGCCACTCTGCGTTCACTCGGTAGGTAATGAAGCGGG